TACACACAGTTAAACAGCAGCCCCAAGTCCGCCGGCCCTTAACAGGGCTACGGCTCACGAACACGGGCGAGGGCATGTATGGAGCTATGGCAGTGTATGTGTTGCTATCTTGTTTGAGTCACCTAGCTGCTGACACGATGACTGCTGGATCTTGGGAGTGTACGATTATCAAATTGGGAGATGCAGCATACCAAGATATCCAGGCTTCGACTGGGCTTGAAATAACCCTTTTTTTGCTGTCCTCCGCTCTTTGCATCAGTGGCTTCCTAGGTTCGGGCGAGGGCATGTATGGAGCTATGGCAGTGTATGTGTTGCTATCTTGTTTGAGTCACCTAGCTGCTGACACGATGACTGCTGGATCTTGGGAGTGTACGATTATCAAATTGGGAGATGCAGCATACCAAGATATCCAGGCTTCGACTGGGCTTGAAATAACCCTTTTTTTGCTGTCCTCCGCTCTTTGCATCAGTNCTTTGTTTGAGTCGCCTAGCTGCCGACACTTGGGAGTGCACGATTATCAAATTGGGAGATGAGGCATACCACGATATCCTGGCTTCGGCTGGGCTTNGCATCTAGCGCATTGCGCATTTTTCGAATTTTGGCCCCCTTCCAGGGACCTTGTTTTTTTCCCGCTGGCACTGACGTGGTTTAATTGGTCAGCCGGTTAGCGCCGTCGATGCAAATAATAAAAACAAACACACTGTTGTACTTTCAATCTGAACCACTCTGAGAAAGTCATCGTATCAACCCCGAGCGCGCAGCATATCACGCCAAAAGTGCACCACAAATGAACATCCGCTGGAGAGTTCGAGGCCCAACATAAATCAACGAAAACTGTTTGGTGTGTGTATCGTGTGTAATTCGTCTACCCTCATGCTTCACTTCGTGTTGTTGATGAGGTCCGCTAAGTTCGCAGAGAACTGCAGCCCTTTCGGGGGTGTTGATGATGATACGGTCTCTGATCATAGTGGCAATAGTGGAGGCAAGTGTATGTATGGTTCGTTGGCGTGCCCTGCTGGTGTTCTTTAGACTAGTGGTGTAGCACCCTCCTCTTCATGTTGACAAGAGAGCGTCGGTGGCGGAACCAACTTCGAACGAAACCACTCATTACTCTGGAACGCGTATTGTGTACAGTACATACATTGCGCGGCACAAAAGTAGGTGAGCGTGCACTGTCACAGAAGGCCGGGCCGATGAAATGTTGAACGCATGACGAGCACTCGTCTACTACTAGCTCACTCACCACATCCGAACCAGCGACGCCCCTTTTCGTGGTGCAGTCGGCTGAAGCTGTGCCTGATGCAGTAGCTGTGTAGTGCCAACACGGGCGGCAAGGAACCAATGACCGACAGGGTCTTATGAGTGAAAGCCATAACACACGCGTTTTTTTTCTTGTTGGCAATGCGCGTTGCCTCAACCAAGCATGCTAGACTACTGCTCTGAAGTTGCCGCAATCTTTTTGGTTAAGACGGTGTCGTCGTCCATTTTCGCGGGATAGTGCGCAACGATGTTGCTGCCATGAAAGCGACAGGAACAACGCGGAACAGCGATGGCCTACTCACTCGATGTAGTAGAGCAGGTAGTCTAGAGAGCACAGACGACGATAAGGTGCACACAAACAATCCCCGAGTGCAAACGTTGTATTGCTGCATCCTGCAGTGCTCACTGTCACAGGATGAACGTGTCACCCGCGGGGGCACTGATCAGATAAGATACGCGCGTAACTTCGTGTTTGTTTCCGCCGAAAACGCGGCGGAATAACCTTGCGGGGAAACATGTACACTACTGTAACTGCTGTGTTACTGCCTGCGGAAGAGTAAAAAAGTACCCTATGGAAGATGACAGAAAGTGCGAAGATTGTTTCTTTTCTGGATTTCGGAAGAGTTATCTGCAGATGTGCAGATGCAAACATACATGTTGTTGATGTTGTTGTTGTTGTTGTCTTCACATTAAATCGTACGCCAGTTAGTTGCTAAATGCCAAAATCTAGCAAAGATTCTCAGCCCGTGGTCACGAAAGTGCTAGAGCCATCTGAGGATCTAAAGAACACGCACACATATAACGAGAAAAAGGTATCCAAGAGCCCGAAGAGGTACTACACCTATAATCCCTGCAGCACCGTATGCGTGCCCAAAACTGAACTACACGTCCGTCCCACCGTTCGACCACAGTAACATCACCCCCTCCCTGTCCCACTCTGTACCAAAACGAATGATTGCCGACTACAGCATACTGCTGTCTGAAGTGCTGTCTGTACAAAAACGCCATGGTAGGCATGGAACAAGAAGCTGGCGGGGCACAAAGCTGCTGTCTGAAGTGCTGTCAGAATGTGTCTGGGGACGTACAGTGAAAAAAAACAACCAACCAAAGCCATGATTGCAATTGACAATCACCCGAATCTCTCCCGATCGTCTGCGTTAGGCACGCAGTGAAAATATCGACAATAGCTAAGAATCGTTCCACATTGAAGGGGTCTTCCACGATCAGGCACATAACCAAGGCACCCGGGTTAGCCACGCCATCTCTGACGGGTCTCTCTACAAAACCAGTGACGA